AATAACATCCCCAAAATTAGAGCACCAGAACCAGATGGTTTCACAGGTGGGTTTTACAAAACATTTAACGAAGATGTGATGCTAATTCTCTACAATCTTTTCCAGAAAATAGAAGTAGAAGGAACACTTTCTAACTCATTCCATGATCCCAGCATTACCATAATATCAAATGAGATAAAAACATTGCAAGAAAGAGAAACTGCGGACCTATAGCTCTCATGAATGTAGATGCAAAAATTCTTAACAAAATACCAGCTAATCAAATCCAAAAATATATATACAAAATCATACACCATAGCAGAGCAGATTTTATTCCAGGTATGCAAGGCTGGTTCAACATTTGAAAATCAATGAACATAATCTCTACATTAATAGGCTAAAGAATAACAATAATGTGATATTATCAATAGATGCAGAAAAAGCATGTGACAAATCCAACACCCATTTGTGACAAAAGCTCTCAGCAAACTAGAAATTGAGGGAAACTTCCTCAGTTTACTAAAGGACGTTTTCAAAAATCCTACAGTTAACATCATACTTAATGGAGAGAAAATAGAAAATAAAAGGTAAAGATATTCCCTTCTCTCCACTCCTATTCAACATCATACGGGAAATCCTAGCTAGAGAAATACAATAAAAGGAAATAAAAGGAGTAGAGATTGGGAATGAGGAAACAAGCCTGTGTCTGTTTGTTTCACAGATGGCATGATTGCCTACGTGGAAAATCCCAAAGAATCGCCAACGACAAAAAAACTGGAACAAATAAGAGACTATTATAGCAAAGTTGCTGGTTGCAGCTAACATACAAAAGTTAACTACTTTTCTCTGTACCAGCAATGAACAATTGGAACTTGAAATTTAAAATAATTCCACTTACATTAGCACTAAAAAATCGAATATATGGGTAGAAATCTAACAAAATATGTAAAGGATCTAAATAAAGAAAATTACAAACTCTGGTTAAAGAAATCAAAGAAGATCTAAACAAATGAAGTGATGTTCCTTATTCGCAAGTAGGAAGACTCGATATTATTAGGATGTTAATTCTTCCCAGATTAATCTACATGTTCATCATATCCCAGTCAAAAACCCAGTAAGTTATTTTGTGGATATAGACATTAAAAAACTGATTCTAAAGTTTATCTGGGAAGACAAAAGACCCAGAATAGACAATTCAATATTAAAGGATTAGTACAAGGTTGGAGAACCGACACTACTTTAAGACTTAACAATAAAGCTACAGTCATCAAGGCACCTTGGACTCAACAAAAGAAAAGCCACATAGATCAACAGAACTAGACGGAGAGCCCACAAAGGGACCCACACAAATATTGTCTACTGATTTGTGACAAGCAAGAGGCCATACAGCGGGGAAAGGATAGTCATGTCAAGAAATGATGCTGGGAAAACTGTACATCCACACACAAAGTAATAAATCCAGACACACACATTACATGACGCACAAAAATTAACTCAAAGAGGATGACAGACCTAAGTGTAGAACACAAAACTATAAACCTTCTAGAAGATAACACAGAAGAAAATCTAAGTGATTTTGGCTTTGGCCATGAGTTTTTAGATATCGTACTAAAAGCACAATCCAAAAAAAAAAAAACCCCAAAAAACAAAAAAACAAAAAGCTATTAAGTTTGACTAATTAAAAATAAAAACTTTTCTGTGAAAGACACCATTAAGAAACCACAGAGACAAAAACTCAAAGAAAATATTTATTAAAAAGTGTGATAAAAGACTCATACTAAAAATATACAAAGAAATTTGCAACCTGGCAATAAGGAAAAAAAAAAGACTCAATTAAGAAATGGACAAGAAAGATCTGAAGAGACACATCCCCAAAGAAGACATAGAGATGACTAGCAAGCATATAAGAATATGCTCTGTATCATAGGTCATTAGGGAACTGTAAATAAAAACAATATATACCTACAAGGGGTCTTCAAAAATTTCATGGAAAATGTATATTATGAAGAAACCATGCATGGATTGCAAAACGTTTTTTCACAAAACGAACTCATGCTAACTTGTTATAACACGTCTAAACAGAATGTAGTTTGAGGCACTAAGAAAAATAAGGCATCAGTTTGAAAAGAGCCCGTATCAGAGCAACATGAATGCTGCTAACACTGAAGCAAGAACAAACCTCAAATTTATGCTGAAGCTTGGGGCAGGTATATGGCAACTCTAGTATCTCTTAAGTTTTCTGTAAATCTTAAATTATTCTAAAAAACAGTCTATTCAGTTTTAAAATACTATGTATGTATTAAACGAGATTCAAAAGGCAAAAAGACAGAGACAAAACAAAACAAAACCTTCTTAAAAAGAAAACTGAAAAAGATTTCACTGGTAAATTCCAGGAAACATCTAAGAAAAATACAGTGCCAATTCTACACTCTCTCTTCCAGGGAATAGAAGAGAAGTGATTACTTATCTCATTTTATGAGGACTGCATTACTCTGACACCAAAACCAGATGAAGACATTACAAGAAAAGAAAATGACTATCCCTCATGAATACTGACACAAAGTCCTCAAAAAAAGATTAACAAATCAAACCCAGAAATTTGTAAAAACAACATACACAACAACCAAGCAGGGTTTATCTGGAGAATTGCAAGGCTGCTTCAACATTTAAAAATGAAAATAATCCACCACGTTATCAAACTCAAGGAAAAAAAGACAATCATATTGATACAGAAGAAAATATTTGAGAATATACAACGTCCATTCATGATAACAATTCTCCCCAAATTAGGAATAGGAGGGATTTTTCTTGACGTAATAAAGG